CAGTTAAAATCCAGTATATAGAGAAGATATGCATCCAATATCATTAAATCATCTAACTTGCATATAGAGAAGATATGTGTGATTAAGCAAGTCAAGGCACATGGATTCAAATATAGAGAAGATATGTACCCTGTCTATCTCATCAAGTAAGATAGCATATAGAGAAGATGCGCACAAAGGCGTGGATACATCCCGAAGCTAGAAAATAGAGAAGAGCTGCAGCAAAAATCATGTATACATTACAAGTAGAGAAGAAATATAATAACCAAAACAAACACTAGCTAGTTTTTCTTAGAAATACCATAACCGAACCAAACCACTTATCAGCTTTTATCATACCGCATGTACACCATCAAGAGAGAAACATGAGAGGGTAACCCTATGGGGATAAATACTTATCCACACACTGCACGGACAACTCATGTGCTATAAATAACAACTGCATGGTGTATTCACATGCTAATAATCACAATCTGCATGGCATGTTCACGTGCCAAAAATCATAACCCGCACGGCGTGTTCACATGCCAAAAATCACAACCCGCACGGCGTATTCACTTGCCAAAAAACACAATCCGTACAACGCGTTTACATGCCACCAGTCCAATCCATATCACACAGAAAGCAAATATACAATTGCATGTATATGATCAATGAATATCAAATTTCATACTCCTGGACATGTATAGGCGACATGTTAAAGTCTATGCATGTGCAAAATGTACTATCATAGCTCAAATAAGGTAATTACATCACGAAAGTAGCAATTATCATGTTCAATCAGGATATTAACCTCTATGTAACCTCAAACATGGTTCAAATAGCTCACAAAATGGGTACAAATATAAGAACCATCACAACATGAAGCTTAACAATCAATTCAAGGCATATATATAATATCCTAAGCACTACACCAAACATGAATAACACCTCGGTGCAGGCACATGAGCTCAACCCCATACATGTGCGCCACCCGTAGCATGTAGCTATCACAAATAACTTAGGTATCTTGTACATCAACCAAGTTTAGGTAAGATACTTACCTCAAACGAGCCAAAACCGTACTCCGAAAATGCCTTACCACGCTAAACGACCTCCGAATAATCCATGTATTTGGCTCACAATGTGTAGAAATCACTTACCTCAAGATTGCTGATGAAAATGGCTCCTCCAAATAGCCCAAAATTGCCCAAGCAAGAGAGAAATGAGTTGAAAATGAGAAAATCCAGACCTTGCTAACATTAAATCTACCCAGGTGTCCTTCTACGCGATCGCAAAAACAACTTTACGATCACGAAAACCAACCAGTCATGCCTATTAAATCCTCATTCGCAAACCAAAAAATTCCACGTGATCGCGAACCACTACCTGAATAGCCTACATGAACGCGAAGGCCAAACCTTCCAAACTCAGACCTATACCTTACATGATTGCGAACAGACCCCTACGTTCGCAAAGAGCAACTCTTCCAAGCCCAGGCCACCCCGCTAACACTACGCGTTCGCGGACCTTACCATACGAATGCGATGAACATTAAGACCAAGAACCACGATCGCGAGACACCATACGTGATCGCGAAGAACTAATTCACCCAGCTCCCAAACAACACTAAGCGATCGCATGCCTTCCTCCGTGATCGCGAAGAACACCCCTGACACCAGAAACCAACAATTACAAGGCAAGATGAAATGATCTGAAATCACCCTGAATCACACCCGAGGCCCCTGGGACCCCGTCCAATCGTACCAACAAGGTCCAACACTTTATACAAACTTATCCAAAGGCTCGAAATGCCACAAATAACATCAAAACCACGAATTGACAATCAAAATCCTTCTTTCAACTTTCAAACATTCAAAATTCGACGAACGCGTCAGAATCACACTTACATATTCTGGAATGATGCCAAATTTTACGTACAAGTCACAATTCATAATACAAACCTATTCCAAGGCTCGGAATTCAAAACGGACATCGATAACATCAAAGTATACTTCAAATCAAACTTAAAAAATTCTAAAACCTTTAAAATGCTAATTTTTCACATTAAACGCTGAAACGCTCCAGGGCCATTTGGTACTCAACTCGAACATACGTTCAAGTCCGAAATAATCATACGAACCTATTGGAACCTTCAAATCCCGATTCCGAGGTCGTTTACTCAAAAGTAAAACCTTGGTAAACTCTATCAACTTAAAGTGTCGAATTGAGAATTTTCCTTCCAAATCAACTCTGAACTCCTCGATAATTGAAACCAGCCACATGTGCAAGTCACAATACATAAAGTGAAGCTACTCAAGGTCTCAAACTACCGAACAACATTCTAGAACTCAAAATGACCGATCGGGTCGTTACATAATAAGAGAAGGATAAAAAATAATGAAAAACAAGAAAAATAAAAAAAATAGATGTAGAAACAAAAATGTAATGACCCGATCGGTCATTTCATTTTCTATATACCCATTCTCCTAAATAAGACTCCCCGTTTATCTTTTACTATTTTATAACTTGCAGGGATGGTTGGTTCGGATTTGGAAGGATTCAGGTTGAAATCATAACACTTAGTTCCTTGTTATTAGCTTTAAAGGGGCCAAGTTTGACTTGGGTCAACATTACTAGTAGACGACCTCAAAACCAGGATTTGACGGTCCCAATAGGTGCGTATGATAATTTTGGAGTTGGGCGTGCGTTCGGATTGGGTTTTGGGTGACCCGGGAGCGTTTCGGCGCCTAAAGTTGAAAGTTGGTTTATTGAAGGTTTTAAAGTTCTTTAAATTTGGTTTGGGGTAGGTTTTGGTGTTATCGTGGTCCGTTTGGGATTTTGAGCCCGGGAATAGTTCTGTATGGTGATTAAAGACTTTTACACAAATTTTGGTATCATTCCGAGTAGTTTACGTATGATTCGGCACGTTCAGAGCAAGTTGGAAGAACTTGAAGTTCATAAGTTGATTCAATTTGGTTTGGGGTGTGATTCTTAGTTTTTATGTTGTTTTCCGCGTTCTAAGGGTTCGAGTGAGTCTCTATCATGTTTACAAACTTGTTGGTATGTTTGGACGAGGCCTCGGGGGGACTCGGGTGCTACTCGGATGTTGCACAGATCGAGTTAGAACTCAAAAAGGGCTGCTGGTGCACCAGTTATGGTGTGCCCGCACTTACGAGCTCTTGGCCGCAGGTGCGAGCTCTTGGCTGCAGAAGCGGTTTTGACCATTTGGTCAGTGGTCCGCAGAAGCGACCTCACTTCTACGATGAGATGTCCGACGATGCGGGACCACAAAAGTGGGAGCTCGTCCGCACAAGTGGAGTCAGCCAGCCTGGGCTAGGACCGCACCTGCGATGACTTTTTCGCAGATGGGCCCCAGGTCCGCAGAAGCGGAAATATTGGAGGCAGTGAGGTCTTTTTAATACGGGACTTAGGCCATTTTAAGTTCATTTATTGCATTCCTTGGGCGATTTTGGAGCTCTTAGAGAGAGGGTTTTCACCTAGCTATTGGAGATAAGTAATTTCTATCCAATGTAAGTTAAATACATAGATTTTGGGTAGATTTTAACATGAAAAATTGTGAAAAATGTGGGTTTAGATGAAAACCCTAGGTTTTGATAAAAATGAGATTTAACCATGAAAATGGTTATGGAATTGGGTAAAAATTATATATTTGACTTCGTGAGGTTATAGGTAATAATTATCTTTGAAAATTTTCGGAATCCGGGCACATGGGTCCGAGGATGAATTTTAGGAATCTTCCAATTGGGGTTGGGTAATCACTCTAATAGTTAGATTATGAACTTTTGAATATGTATTGATTAATTTATTCAATATTTGACTAGTTGCGGGTTGTTTGGCACCAAGTTGAGGATTTAGAGTATATTTGTGGTTCGGAAGCGAACTTTGAGACAAGGTAAGTATCGTGTCTAACCTTGTAAGAGAAAATTTACCCCATAGGTGATTTAAATTACTATTTGCTCCTAATTGTGGGGGCTACGTATGCACGGGGTGACGAGAGTCCGTGCGTAGCTACTAATTATGTTTATGTCCGGGTAGTTTAGGACCCAAATCATAAGATACTTGTAATGTTTGTACCCTATTTGTTAATTAAAGTGCCTAAATTATGTTTGGAATTTGATAGACGAATTGTAAAAGACTGACTTCGACTTACTTGAGTTTTCGCGGGATATTTGACCGTTAATAGAAAATTGTGTTTCTTTGTGTATCAGCTTTGTAATAACTTTTAAACCCAATATTTATTAAATATCCTCTTTTCTTGTGGAGCGGGCCAAACGCTTCGGCAGTAGAATAGATGCATCTATGGTTCGTGCCGCTCGACCCTCGGCATTATATACATTATTTTGGATCGGGCCGAACGACCTCAGCATAATCGTGCGTGATAATACTCGGAGCTAGATTATATTTGATATTATTTTATGGCGTGAGAAGTTAAAAATTATATATGACAGAAACTGGCTTGAGGTTTACCATTTGTGAAAGAATCATTTATTTCCTTCTTGTTATTGAGATATTATTATTATTTACATAAATCATGCTCATTTAGAAATTCTGTATTTTATCGTTAGCCCATAGTAAATGTCGAAATCGATCCATCGTCACTACTTTTTCGAGGTTAGACTAGATAGTTACTAGGCACATGTTATTTATGTACTCACGCTACGCTTCTGCACTAACCGTGCAGGATCTAAGGCAGGTGCATCTGGCAGTCTTATCGGTGTGCACCCCGTTACCCTGAGGCCTAGTGGTGAGCTGCTTCCTGAGCCGTTTTGCAACACCTAGAGTCTCTCTTTTGCACTTATTTTCTGTTTACTTTTATTTTAGATAGTAGTTAGAATTTTGTATATTATACTAGTTGCTCATACACTTGTAACACTAGGTCTTGACGCACGTACTAATAGACTTTATGGTTTTGGAGTACTTATATCACTGTGATTGCCGCTAAGATGCTTAAAAGCACATAAATTAAGAAACCCAAAAATTAAAAGTTAAGGTCTATAATACATATTTTTGCTAAACACAAATTAAAACCTAGAGGATATTTCGGCTTAAGGCCTTAAATGTGGACTCCTTTGACGCTTCTCCTACCTTTCCAGCACTTGAGTTGGTCGATCATGGAGTTCAATCCTGAATACTTCTTTGCTCTAATTCCGAAGGAGTAACTGTAACTTGTCCATCTTTCAACTTAAGAAGAATTAGCGGCTTGTGAAAATTGATCTCTGACTTAATAGGCTAGTGTTGCTGCAACCGATGGAGTTGAGCGGTATGTTTATTTAACTCTAACTCGAGATTATGAAATTAATATAGGTGTATTGTATCTTAATATCTATTATGGCTGTCAATATTACATCTTGCAACTAGTATATATCATAGCCACCGTAATTAGGGATTAAACGATTATTCTTGTCTTGGGTTTGAAAACACTGTTATGATGAAATTAATCTCATGATACTTGGCTACAACCCTGTTTTATCTCCTGTGTTAATTTCGTTAACTATGAAATTAAAAATATAAATAGACAGACTTGTTGGTAGTTGTTCAACGGCGGCAGCAAATAGAAAATTTCCTGATTTCTTTGGGCAGAGGTACTTGCCGACGGCGGCGGGCAAGAACGCAAGTTTGTCCGACAACTCCGTTGTTTGTGAATATTTCTGAGAAGCAAACACTCAAGCAAAAATAGTACAATTTATGAGAATCTATTTGATTGAACACGGAATTTAAAAAAAGAATTTTTTTTTGAACTTGTAATGTAAAATGAACCACATATATTTTATGTGACTATAAATCATTGTATAAATATATATTATTTTTAAATATGGAAAGTGGCCATTCTTTTTGGCACGGACTAAAAAAGAAATAAGTTCACATAAATTGAAATGGAAGGAATACTATATAGTAAATTAATTGGAAAACGTTTTTGGCTTCACGTGGCAAGGGTAGTCGATGCGGCTTAATGTTACCGAGTTTACTAGAACCAGCTACTTTTGACGTAGAACATAAATTTATATGTAAAAGTTCATCAAAATTGCAATAAATAGTAGAGATGAATTCAGAACTTTACCAATATAATGGGTTCAATCTTAAGAATCTTAAAGATTGGACCCGTAAAGCTTAAATCTTAAATCTGCCTTTGGTGGCTGATGAAGAGTTTTGTATTTGAGGGATGGTTCTTTGCTTCTGTGGCTAGTATGACTCTAGGGTTTTGATGTTGCCTTTTTTGGTTTAATAACTAAGCTTTTTGCATTTTTGCTCACAGGATGGAATCAAAAATAAATATAACACTAAGGGGTCGTTTGGTTGGAAAGAAGTTATGCCAGGATTAATTATTCCGGGATTAGTTATCCCTGGATTAATTATTCTACCTTTCCATGGGGATAAAAAAAAATACTACAATCTCGGGATAACTAATCCCGAGATTAATTATACCGTAATTTTCTACCAACCAAACATGTAATAAACTCTTCTTAAATTTAGTCTCAGGATTAATTATTCCTTATCTTTCGTACCAAATGAAACCCAAAGGGTTTACATGTAGTTACACATCAAAGTGGACTATCTATTTGGAGTCTTGTATTCTTGGGATGTCTCTTACCCAAAGGAAGGACATAATGTATATCTTATGCTTTTGGAATGTCATAGAAAGAAGATTTTGTGTCTCTTACCCAAAAGGACACAACATATGCCTTGTACAGTTATACTCTTGAAACGTTAAATGGGGGAGGTTTTTAATTTTTGCCCAAAAGTGAGAATAAGATAAATGCCTTGGACTCCTCGGGTGTTAAAGTAGAGACAACTTCTCCTTTTCCACCATGTACTTGGATAAATGATTATAGATTACTATGATGGATTAATTAGGTTGTATATATGTTTTTTCAATGTTAGTTAGGCTAGATTGATCATTGATCAAAGTCACTTAATTACTTAAATATATCCAAGATTCTCAATTAACACTTGGGTTACTGAATGTTTTTACGTTCTAATTAAATATGTATATTTGAATATATTGATTCTTCTATTACTATTTAATTAATCCAAGAAGTAGTCACTTCTGTGTATTGTGACTCTTGATGGATAAATGAAGACACACTTAGTTGAATAAAGAACTCTTAGTTCTATCCGCTTCACTATAAAAGACACGTTTTGCTCGGTATTTTAAGACTCCAATTAACGTTACAAAATCAACATGACTCAAGATATGCAACTCTCCCTTTTTTCTTTTATTTTTTTCCTCTTCTTTTAGGATTATAAGTTTTAAGCGCAAGACTAACTCAACTTCTTCTAACAGATAGTGAAAGAGTTGATGTTGAAAAGGATAGAGAAGATAGAATCAGCACTCTGCCAAGAAACGTTATAGATGGTATTCTTGAACTCCTGCCGGTAGAAGATGCGGCAAGAACTAGTATTCTATCAAACAATTGGAGATATATCTGGGCCATGCTTCCTAATTTGGTGCTGAATAAGCTCTTTTGCAATAAATTAGCAGCAAGATCTCAATATGTCTTCAAAGACACGATAGATAAGATTCTGTTACAGCATTCTGGAGACATAGTGAAGTTTGTCCTTGATGTTTCAGCAATAGTTTTATTTCCCTATCCAGATATTGATAGATGGATGATTTATGTTACTAGAAACGGTGTCAAGGAGCTAACCCTTAAGTCAAATTATACTACTTATAATGTGCCTTCTTATGTATTTAATTGTCCAACACTGACACATTTGGAACTCTTAAACTGTGTCTTCAAACCACCAATTTCTTTTCTTGGCTTTCCGAATCTTGTAACACTTCGTCTGGAAAAAATAACCTTTGTGCCAACTCCAGAGTTTTGTGTTATCAATGCGCCCCTTCTTGTCAATTTGACCTTTATGTACTGTAACAGTACTAAATATTTGAACATTGTTTCATCACGGTTGAATTCCTTGGTTGTTCGTGAGAGTCACTATGATATTGAACTAAGTTGCTTTATGAACTGCAAAAATTTGGCAGCTTTATACCTTGCGACTAATAATCCAATATCTGCTGAAAGATCAAAATTGGAAAAGCTTCTTCTTAGCTTGCCTATACTTCAGGTGCTTACTTTGTGTTCATTTTTCCTTGAGGTAAGAGTTTGAGGTGTTGTTTTACTTGGATATCTTATAGGGATCATCCCTATTCATGTGATTCTTATTTTTGTATTTGCTTCAAAGCTTTTGAGTGCAGGTGCAGTTCCACAAGAGCTTCCTTTTACACTCAACTGCTTGTGGAATCTAATTTTAGGTGTAAACATCGGCCAAATGGGTCAGATTTCTTACACTCTCGAGTTGATTAAGAGCTCCCCCAATTTGAGTAAACTTGAGATTTGGGTAAGAAATGGCAAATATATATATGTGGTCATACTCTAGCTAGTAGATATATGTATGATCTGGTTCGTTTTTAGACTTCACATATTTAAATATGAGAATCTAAAATAATCTTGGATATCCTTGTACCATTAGGTCAATGCTACCAGTGTCACTGTTGAAGCAGTTTCGGAATATCTAGACACAGCTGACTGCTTGAACCAACCACTTAACAAGCTCAAATATGTGGTCATACATTTGTTTAAGGGTTCAAAAACTGAGCTGTTTTTCGTAAAGCTATTGTTTGCTCGTTGTCCATCTTTGAAAAGTATGAGCATTAAGCAAGCAAAAGCCTCTGGTTCCAAGGAAGAAAGAAATATTGTCATAGAATTGGCGCGTTTCCCTAGAGCATCTCCCGAGGCAGAGCTACTGTATTTTCCATGCTCGGATTAGGATTTTATGTCAGTCATCTGTGATTATGGCAGGGACGTCTGTTGACTAATCAATTAAAAATTGATGAAGTATTCTTTATTTAGTACATGCTTTATATCTGATCTTATTTATGTATAATATACATTACGTTAGGTATCTTTAATTAAACTTTTCTGTATAATTCAGTTGTGGCAAGTATCCTTTTTTGAGAAAGAATCAATTAAATTTTCGTATTTTATCTTACACATTCCTTTTAAGTTCGAATCTGTATTATATTAAAAGTTGGGTAGTTTGCAATATGATCAAGCCAAGTGGCAAACTAAAATGAAGCCACTTGACAATTTTAAGACAACAATGATAATTTAAAATTATAAATGGAAACATAATTAATGAAAGTAGTAGTTGAATGAGTCTTGTTTTTTTAATTATGATAGGAAATATATTTGACATCTGTTGACTAATCAATTAAAGATTGACGAAGTATTCTTTATTTAGTACAAGCTTTGTATCTCACCTTATTTGTGTACAATATACATTACTGTCGGTATCTTTAATTAACCTTTTGTGTATAATTCAGTTATAGTAGGTATCTTTATTTTAGAAAGAATCATTGGGATTTTAATTTGAAAAATAAATAACATAGTGTATTATAATTTAGTTAACCTTTTTTTTTTTGTATAATTATGGTAGGGACATTTGTTGACTAATCAATTAACGATTGATGAAGTATTTTTTATTTAGTACAAGCTTTGTATCTGACCTTATTTGTGTACAATATACATTACTTTAGGTATCTTTAATTAAACTTTTTTGTATAATTCAGTTGTGGTAAGTATCCTTTTTTGAGAAAGAATCAATTAAATTTTCGTTTTGTATCTTACACATTCCTTTTAAAAGTTGGGTAATTTGCAATGTGATTAAGTGTAACGACCCGAACAGTCGTTTTGAGCATTACAGCCGTGTTCTCCCTTTTACTGCTCAATTTATGCTTTACATTTGTTATATGACTTGTCGGGTTAATTGGTTTGGGTCCGGTGAGGTTCTGAAATGAATTGAGACACTTAGTCTCCAAGATGAAAACTTAAGTTGAAAAGGTGGACCGGATGGTGACTTATGTGTTAACGACCCTGTAATAGAATTTTGATGATTCTAATAGCTCCGTATGGTAATTTTAGACTTAGGAGCGTGTCCAAAAAATTATTTGAAAGTCCGTAGTTAAATTAGGCTTGAAATGACTAAAATAGAAAGTTAAGTTTGGAAGTTTGACCCGGAAGTTGACTTTTTGATATCGGGATCAGAATTCGATTTTGGAAAATGGAATAGGTCCGTTATGTCATTTATGACTTGTGTGCAAAATTGGAGGTCAATCGGATTTAATTTGATAGGTTTCAGCATCGAAAGTAGAAGTTGGAATTCGTTAGTTTCATTAGGTTTGAATTGGGGTGCGATTCGTGGTTTTAGCGTTGTTTGATGTGATTTGAAGCCTTGACTAAGTTAATATGATGTTTTGGGACTTATTAATATAATTGGTTGCGGTCCTGGGGGCCTCAGGTGAGTTTCGGATGGTTAACGGATCAAATTTTGGACTTAGAACAAAGCTGAAAATTTGCTGCTACTGATGCAACCGCACCTGCGGAACTTGGCTCGCAGGTGTGAGCCCGCAAAAGCGAGCTCCTTATCGCAGATGCGGCCAGGTGTGGCTGGGGCTGTGATCGCAGAAGCGGCCCCGCACATGCGAGTGTTTGATCGCAGAAGCTCAAGGTCGCTTGGTGAAACAGCTTCGCAGAAGCGGACAACTTCTTGCAGAAGCGTGTGAATTCCATAGAAGCGTGGTTAGACGCAGAAGCGGCAACTTCGCCGCAGAAGCGGGAATCGTAGAAGCGGCTTAGTGAGCTGCAGAAGCGAAAACCCCTGGATAAAATAAAATTAGAGGGGTTGCGGGATTTTGGCATTTTTGGACATTTCCAACACGGGGTGAGGCGATGTTTGAGTGAGAAATCACGGGAAATCTTAAGGTAAGTTACTTGTGATAATTGTTAGTTAATAATATTGAATTATCATCGATTATTCCGACTAGATTACGTGTTTTGAGGTGAAATTCGAGAAATTGGACCTAGGGATTTCAAAATAAGAATTTAAGATTTGAAGATCGAGTTGATGTCGGATTTTGGTAAAATTGGTATGGTTGGACTCGTGGTTGAATGGACGTTCATATTTTGTAATTTTTGTCGGGGTTCCGAGACGTGAGCCCATGGGCAAATTTTTAGTTAAATTTCGGATTTTGTTGAAAAATTAGTATTTTTATATGGAATTAATTCCAATAAATTGTATTGACTGAATCGAATTAATTGTGACTAGATAAGAGGCTTGCGGAGACCAATTCGCGAGGCAAAGGCATAGTGGAGTAAGGAATTACACGGTTTGAGGTAAGTAACACTTCTAAACTTGATTTTGAGGGTATGAATCCTTGAATTACATGTTGTATGAATTGTTTGGAGATGACGCACATGCTAGGCGACAGGCGTGTGGGCGTGTACCATAGAAATTGTGACTTGAATAAATTCTGGAGAGTTGTAAAATTAAAGAATCATGTTATTATCCTCATATCCTCCAAGTGTTAGAGAAATTGAGTTGAGACACACTAAAGATCATGTTTAGGTTACACGTCGATATATTTTGGGATTGTAATGACCCGACCGGTCGTTTTGAGTATTATAACCCCGTTCCCCCATTTACTGCTCAATTTATGCTTTTATAATTGTTTTAAGACTTATCGGGTTAGTCAGTTCGGGTCGGGAAGGAATTCAGAGTGAAACAAGACATTTAGTCTCATAATTAAAAATTTAAGTTAGAAAAGTTGGCAGGATGTGGACTTATATGTAAACGACCCTGGATTTGACTTTTGATGATTCCAATAGCTCCGTATGATGATTTTGGACTTAGAAGCGTGTCCGAAAAATTATTTGGAGGTCGGTAGAGGAATTAGGCTTGAAATGGCGAAAGTTAAATTTTTGGGAAGTTTGATCGGGGGGTTGAATTTTTGATATTTGGGTCGGAATCCGATTCTGGAAATTTGAATAGGTCTGTTATGTCATTTATGACTTGTGTGCAAAATGTGAGGTCAATCGGACGTGATTTGATAGGTTTCGGCGTCATTTGTAGAATTTAGAAATTTCAAAGTTTATTAGACTTGAATCCGTGTACAATTTGTGGTTTTAGCGTTGTTGGATGTAATTTGAGGTTTCAACTAAGTTCATATGAAGTTTTAGGACTGGTTGGTGTATTTAGTTGAGGTCCCGGGAGCCTCGGGTGAGTTTCAGATGCTTAACAGATCGAAATTTGGACTTGGTAAACTGCTGAAGAATGCTGGTTGTCTGTTACTGGTTTCCTTCTATGCGATCGCGTGAGAAGGTCCACGATCGCATTGGCTTGTTTGGGCAGAGGTGAGATTTGTTCAGTGCGATCGCATGAAGGCACCCGCGCTCGCGTAGGCTTGTTGATGTAGTGTTGATTTTGTTCTTCGCGATCGCGTGAGGTCAACTGCGATCGCGTAGGTTGGGCCAGTATGTGCTATGTGAACGCGTGGGAGATGTCGCGTTCGCATAGGGGAACTTGAGAGGTAGCTGGGCCGCGCGTTTGCTCTATGCGATCCCGTGAAAAGGGCTGCGATCGCGTAGAGCTTGGATCCTGTGCATCACGATCGCGTAGGGTCTTTTCTGGGCAGTGTAAAATTGAGCTTCGCGATCGCGTATGTTTGTCCGCGATCGCGTAGAGCAAATGACTAGGCAGCGAGTTTAAGTTCTTAATTTTAACCGATTTAGAGCTCAGATTGAGGCGATATTTGGGAGATTTTCAGAGAAAACAACGGGGTAAGTGTTCTTAACTCAATATTGGTTAAATTACCCGAATCCATGGTTGTTTTTAACCTTTAATAGGTGAATTAAGTTGGAAAATTTAGAAAACCTTCTTGGTTTAAATTGAAGATTTGAGGGTCGAGTTGAGGTCAGATTTTGGTAAAATTGGTATGGGTTGACTCGTGGTTGAATGTGCTTTTGAATTTTGTAACTTTTGTCGAGTTCCGAGACATGGGCCCCACGGGAGATTTTTGAGCTAAATTACGGATTTTTATGAAAAACTAGCATTTCTTATGGAATTAATTCCAATAAATTTTATTGACCGAATCGAATTATTTGTGGCTAGATTCAAGGCGTTAGGAGGCCAATTCACGAGTCAAAGGCTTAGCGGAATAAGAATTTTACGGTTTGAGATAAGTAAGTTTTAAATCTAGTCTTGAGGGCATGAAACCCCAGATTATTGTATTATGTGAGTATTTTGGAGGTGATGCACATGCTAGGTGACAGACGTGTGGGCGTGCACTGTGAGAATTGGGACTTGGTCCATTCCGTGAAACTGGAAAGTTGAATAAGCTTGTTGTTAGCTATGTGCTCTTTCTGTGCTGTATAAATTTGATAGTGAATCATGCTTAGGCTATGTGTTGGTGCTGTAAAGACCCCAGTGGTCGTAATACCTGTTGAACCTTCCTGCTTATTGTTACTTGTGCTCAGTCATAGTATTACTTGTATATTATACCTCAGTCTCTGTTCTTCATTGCTGATACATTATATCATTCTGTTTTGGGCTGATTCCCCTTTATTACTGGGGGCCGTGAGACTAGAGATGTTGATTACTGAGTGAGGCCGAGGGCCCGTTTGTGAGGTATTGATACCATAGCACGTGAGTTGTCCGTGCAGATCTTGATATGATACTATAGCACGTGAGTTGTCATTGCGTATCCAGATATTACACTATAGCACGTGAGTTGTCATTGCGTATCCAGATATTACACTATAGCACGTGAGTTGTCCGTGCGGATCCAGATATTTATTCTATAGCACGTGAGTTGTCCGTGCGGATTATAGAGCTTGGTCTGTAGGAGCTCCTCTAGAGTCTGTACACCCCAAGTGAGCGCAGGTACCTATTGAGTGTGAGTACTGAGGGCTAAGAGCCGAGTGATTGAGCTGTTGTGATGAGTGGAGTGACTGTTGCCCTGAGAGGGCTGTACTTGCTTTTCAGTGTTGTTGCACTTAGTTGCTATCTGTCATTGTTGTGAAATTTCTGAAAGATTTATTATCCAGATTACCTGAAGTTGAACTATATAAAATCGATTTGACTGAAACTGCC